CCGGTCCCTTATTTGGCAGGAATTTTTTATATTTATTTCCAAATGAATTTGGACAGCAGGTTGTCCTATTACACTATACACTTATACACTTACGTATTAGTCCAATACAGCTGTGGCGTTATTGTATAAGAAAGAAAAACGACTTCCGGGTCCAAATTCAATTTTCTGTTCATATGTCTATTTGTTGAAGGTAAGGATATATCATGGAAGTACGTTGTGGCAAGATTTTAGAGTTGAGACTTTCGTGTGTTACCAAGAGGTCTCACTAGTGGAGAGAACCCGTGAGAATCTGGGACCGAAACTAACGACGGCCGCGGAGGGGACTACTACTTGGGCCATAGGAAATATATTTAGCTTTTTAGCCTAAAAATAAAAGATGCTTAAACTGTAATACTTGGCTTTAGTTTGTAAATTCTGYATTTTAAGAATCTTTTTAGTTAATTTGGAAATCAGTAATTGTGTAGGATGAAGAGTGGATGTTAGTACGTTGACTGCATCAGCGTTTAATCGTAAAAAAATTGTCTAATTTTCAGCGTTTCAAAGGTTATGAGTAATCTTTAAGCATAGTGAAAACCTTCCTAGGCCCTCAAATTTGAATTGTGCCTCTAAATTCTGAATTTTGAGAGATTTTCTATTTTGGAAAATCMGGAACCGAGCATAAATGGAATGGACTGGACTTCGTTTAACTGGATCGTGCGGATCGAAACACGTTTTTTGTGCCGAATTTGAAGCTTCTTTCCGGTAATTCTTATTTTAATTCTCGTAACTAATAAATTTGTGCTGAAATTAATTGAAATTTTGCACACAAAAAAAATAGATTTAATTTTTTTCATAACTGGTAAAAAAATTTCTTGGATTCCAAAAGAAATCCTATTCATATGCGACTTCCAAGTAAATGCTTCTTTTAGTAATTTGTTTATGAAGTTATCATGATTTTGAGAAAAAGTGTTCAACAAAGCCCAATTTACTTCTTCCTCTACCCGCCATTTTGAATCGAGGACGAGCAGAAAACGCCAACGAGCGTAAGCTTGCCCTGATTGGTTGAAATYATATTTCTTTTGTTATCTTAAGATTCGGTTGGCTGAGAAAAACTATCAAATTTCTGAGTAATTGAACAATTCTAATGTTCTTAAAAAAAGTTCGTAGAAAAGCTACCAAATTGATCATTTGTCTGTCTCGCTCTCAATCGCGCTCTCATCGCTACACCACCCATCCTTTCTGAAAGTCTAAATACCACACATGAATTATGCACTCCCCCGTTTTTGAACCTAACTCATTAAAAATGTAGTGAGTGTAATATTAATACATGTCACTCACACATTATTGAAACCCTTTTAATTTATATTCATTAAGAGTGTTTAAAAACACTCCTAATGAGTATAAATTTCTAATATACTGAGAAATGAGAATGAATCTCTCCTAGCTTAGTTTATAGTACAGAAATAGTCTTCTTTATCGATTGCATGCAATATTATGACATTTGTTATATTTTTCTTTATATTCAAATATCTTTTTATGRTATGATCAATTCCATATTTGGATTGTGCGGAAAAGCGGCAAACAAAAAGGCCGTCGTTTTATAACGAATTCGACATGAACATTTTTGAAGAAGAAAAGAAAAGAAAAGAAAAAAAAAACAAGTAAAAAAATTTTTTTGGAAAATCGAGGGAGGATACGGGGACGATGCTAACTCGTGGATCTGCCTCGCAGACAACACACACAGGGAAATACAACACTCAATGTTTGATATGTTCCTAATCTATTATGCTCTACAGGTAGCTAAGCTGGAAAGCACTAGCTACTTCAGCCACCATAAACATCTACATATTAGTTGTTCAATAATATTTTGGCTGTCTTTTCTTTTTGTTTGTAAATATATATTATACATTTTGTATTTTTCTATTATATATGATTRGTTGTTAATAGAACTATAGTTGAAGTTGAATATATGACTGGTATGTGAYGCAAAGAATCTAACACGCATGCTCATTTTGGACCCTTCCTGTCCTTCAAAGTTGCCAGAAGTGATTTTTTGGAAAATATGAACCTTGATATTGTAATCTGATCGAGCACTTTTCCATTGAAAAACATATGTTGACTTGTTTTGTCATTTGTTTTTGATAGCTATCTTATTTAAAACCATCGAATGTCATTCACACTTGCTTGCTGTCGGTTTAAAAACTTTCTGCGTTTCGCTCTGAAAACGAGAACTCTCGAACCCACATCAATAGAYACTGGTTGGTCGGGTTTTGAGTGGGATTAGGAAGTGATGCGTTTTTTTGTAAATTTCTAGAGTTTTAAATAAGGTTGTTAAGTTAGATCATATTTACTTAGCTTTTGAACTGCGAAGGTTTACAAGATAAAATCGGTTTGTCCCGTGAGACAAGTTGTGCGAGCCGCCAAAAAAGTGGAGTTGGACATTTGCCATAGTATTTTATGATGCAAGCAGGGGGCACACTGAACTACAGTCAAATACATGTGAGTTACGCCTAAATGAAGAGTACTGTGTTAAATATGTCCAGTAATCTAGCGCCCGTGAGATAAAAGATGCCACTAGCTAAGAATAATTACATTTTTAAATTATCAGATCGATATCAAAAAAATCTATCTGGTTGGAAATCGTGAAACAATTACGAATATTGGATCTAAATGTGCATGTGAAAGCACTGCTTATATCAATCTAACAACCTGCTACTTTTACAATATACGCATTGCCACGCAATAAGCTGGGTGCTTTATAGACTGTTTACTGGTGCTTCATTTAACCCTTATTACAAACTCAATGTTAATTATCGTTGCTAGGAGATATTTGTTTACTGCAARCGTTATTTCTCTGATCAGTATCATAAAGCTAATTAGAGGATATTTCAAAGAAGAGCGAGAAAAATTTGATGATTTTACACTGAATTAAGCAAACAAAAAAAACTGTCGATTACCAATAGAAACTACTGGCAAGATGTCGTTTTTAGTAAGATATTACATAACTCCACAACGAAGACGGGGAAAAAGAAATCGAAAAGGAAAGGAAAGGAAAGAATAGAATAGAAAGAAAAGAAAAGAAAGAAAGAAAGGAGAGCACGCAAAGCATGTTAGATACGACTTTGTGCCAAAGCGAGAAATGTTATGTCCTTAAACCAGCAAGGGACGTAGTTTTTTGATGAAGTAATATTCTACTTGTTTCTTCATAAAGATGTTATTAATTCCTTCGTAAAAATATCACTTTCACCGCTTACGATGATAACACAATAAACATATAAATATTCTGATTTATTGAAAAGTTCTTAATCTATATATTTTTATCAAGGAGGTGGTTAAATGAGGTATTTTGAAATGAGGTATTTTTAGATTYAAGACAAAGATACAGTACTTTGGACTGGAATCGGAATTTTTTAAATATTACCCAGCTTGAGATTAAAAACTGTGTTATTTTTTGCACCGTTGTGCTGTGCTACGACGGAAGAACTTCTGGAAATTATATTCGCCTTCTCGACTCAGTTCAAACCGCTTTAGAAAGGATTCTCTTCTATTCTGATAAATGCTTCAAAATTCAAAAACAGACGAATTATGAATAATGAAAAGACCTACATTTTTTAATGAAGTTGGGTTACCTAGTATTCTAAGCTTTATATTACTTGTAATATTGATCAAACATACCATTTAAAATTACTTATATTTGCAGGACTATCTGAGAACCATTTCTCGTTGTCTCTTWGCCAACTTTCTTCAGTCCTCGGCACTTGTTTTAACTTGTTTAGCTCGAATCTAAGACTGGTTGGCGACGAAGGTCAACGTCTTCATGTAATTATTATATATTTCAGTCACTTTTCACATCTTCTAATTTTCTTTTCAATTTTATAAGTGAATAAATTATTATCCTCATTGTTAATATTATTTTCTAAATTTTTCCTTCTTACCTTTAGGCAGATATGAGTTTTTTTCGCAGTTCTACAACAAGATGAGAATATAAATATTTGTTAGAGGTTTTTGACATTAGACKACTTTAAATGCGATGTAAACGAAAAGGTACCTGGCTTAGTACTCCAAGGAATAAGMCTGACATCAGCACCAACAAAGTTCCCAGTGTCAAATTCATCTTTTTTCGTTATCTTTCAAGAATTCCCCGTCTTCATTTCACTTAAGACTTGTGTTTCAAGSGTTTAGGTTTTTGTCCTTTCGAAGTTTAGAGCTGGGATGCTTGCTGTCGTCAGAGTGGTGTAGTGCCCTATAAGAAAAGATCTCACTAAGTCTCTATTGGTTGCCACCTTCTAAATTATTAATAATTCTCTTGTGGAAAAAGCAGCTGTTTTCTCCAAATGAAATTTTATCACAAGGCTAAAAATTAACTAAACAATCTGCCCGATAGGATTCTAGAGAATGTTTTGAAGTGAAAGTAGCTAGTCAGAATTCGATTTGCGAGACAGTTCAGTGACCATTCAAATTACTATAAAGTTACTGTAGTGCTTAATAATATGTAAAGTAGTTGTATTAAACGTGCAAACCTTATGTCCATGGCCTTGAATTCGTCTTACATTATTAATCCACTTCGTCATTTTTAATTCCTGATTTCGTTGCTAGTTTAAATTTAGCTTTAAAACTAAGATTTAAAACACACACAAACGTCAATAAATGGTTTGTTATTATCACTATCGCCTTCACGTAGTTTGACAAAATAACTATGTTTTGAGAAGATAACGAAGAAAACGTCTACATATTTCAAAATGTTATTTTTCTCTTGAAAATTGTCATGGGATATAGAAAAATAAAGTTGAGCGAGTAGAGTTAAAAAATAACGAGTGCGGAATAGAAMATATAAGACGACATAATAATATTGACGACATATTGCAATTCTAATAATAATTCCTTCTGTATAGTAGTTTTTCCCGTTATATTTACATATCGTTACATAAATATTGATATACTTCGGCCAGCCGGGAAGGCACGACAACCTCCATCTTTTCTTATTTCCTTTCGCTATTGTCAGGGTATTCACATGTAACGAAACATCAGTATGAAGTCACCAAAAATTGAAACCCATTTTGGTGCTCGCTACCAAAAATGCTTCGTCCCAAACATCAATAACAAATACTTGATGAGATAACTAATAAAAACTTTATCCACAAAAGTAATAATAAAGTTATTAAAATGAGCTATGATTTTTTTTTTTTTTTTTTTTTTTTTTTTTTTTTTTTTTTTTGTGAGATCACTGAGGCTCGCATGCCACTGAAAAAGTCGGTTGCCAATTATTTAAGAGCATTTATTTTGGAGATAGTAACGTTGCATAGCCGGASAAAGTACATGTCGGGAACTAAGACCTCTTTATTGGTCTAGGCACTCAAACAATTAGTTTTTGAAGACGTTCACGAATGAGGGGATGTTGCTCGCTATTTATTCCTTGCTCTTGCCTAAACATTATCAGCCAAGAAAGGGATGTTCCTTGTCAGTGGCATATTGATTGAGGCTGTTTTAGCGTCATAAATTAGCGACACCTATTTTCTGAGGATATATAGCTTTGAATTACACACATTATTTTCCTGASGAATAATCAAGGTATGCCTTTGAAAGAGAAAAATTCCCTCAAATTACCGCCTGAATACGCATTAAAAATCACTAAGCTGATACAATCCAATCCAAGCACAGCTTACTYGTAGCTCGAATTGGAATATATACAGGTAACATTTGCTAACTGGCCCAACATTAATAGATTTAAAAACAACTATTTTTCTCTATTAAACTCAAAACCAGTTCAACCGAAAGAGGCCGATCCAACAAGAAAGAAAAACAAATAAAGCCGATTTCAAAACATAGTTATGATAGTCACAAATAAAATTAAAATTGAATCGAGTACCGAGCCGAGTACGATTTACAAGACTATACGAATTATGTACACCGGCGATTCATTTAAGCGATTATACAAATTATTTCTGTACATTTTAAGTTTCGTTTATTAAAACAAAACGAAAGAAAGATCTGAAAAAGATATTTAAATAAATTCAGTTCGCTTTATACTTTAGCCTCCCTGATGAGAAACGAAGGTCGGGTTTGACGTTACAAATTCATTATTTTAAAAATAAGTTTTTGGCGAATGACTTCGTAAAATATTATAAGGCATTTTAGAGCGAGGAAGAACTGAAAGCATTTATACAATTAAACCTAGTTTAAACATATATAGTATAAAATGAAAGACTGAAAAAATGGCCTCATTTTTAAATTTTAAATAAGCCCCATATTTCTGAGCTGGTACTACTTAAATCTTGCAAACATAAGCAAAGTCGTCGTGGTATCTTCAAATATTGTTAAAAGTTTTGAAAGTGAATGATAAAGTTTTTCATTTCAATTAGCCAAACATTAGTCGGCATTGAAGACTAAGAGACCATTCATAATTAATGAGTTAAGAGGATGTGGATTTTGCACGAGGAGGAGGGCCACCAATTTTCCTARCAAAATACTGGAACAGGTTTATCGAATAACAAAGGGCCGTCATTCTATCATTTATACACACATCGATCGCTGAAGAGAAAATCAAATAAGAGAAGGATGGTCTTGTAACCATCATGGGCACCATTTGATGCTAGTTTTAGGATCACATATGCGATCGTTTTTGTTTTGTTGTTTTTTTTGTTTGTTTTTGTTTTTGTTTGTTTTTGTTTTTGTTTTTGTTTTTTTGTTTTTGTTTTTGTTTTTTGCTTGATGACGACAAAGCAGGAAGATAAGGAGGACTCTGGGTAGGGAATTGCGTTTGTTACTTACACAAGAAAACATGAGTAAAAAGCATAGCCGCAAGCAGTACAGTGTGCGCGAGAAGAAAATTAAACGATCAAATGAATGATACTAAAAAAAGCAAAGATTGTAAAAATAACACGAGGATTTCTTCTCTTACATCATTTTCTCTTGCTTAAATATTCTATTCTGAGAGGGAGGATGGCACATTAGTAAGTAAGTTTAGCGGTGAATAACGAAATGGCGTTATATAATTCAAAATCCACAAAGCTTTCCCTCCCCCTCCCCCTCCCCCTCCCCCTAAGTCCCCCCTGCCATAAATAATGAACGATCCACTATAATCATAAATGTTGAATAGAGCAACTGAAAACATGCCAAGGACTAAGTATACCTACTTGAAAAATAATTTATAAAGTTTAAAATTTGAATATGAATGTAGTTTATGACAATATTCTGCATAACCAGACCGTAGAATTAAATTTAGCTCGATTCAAACGTCATACTTCTGTCATCCTACTCGGCCGGCACCACGTCAATTAATGGTTTAAATTAATGGACTGGGATATGAACGGTATGTCATGTTTACTTCCGTATTGGCACTACTTTTTATATAAAACGAGCTAATAGTTTAAGATTATAAATAAAACATATCTGTTGAACTTACCATTTTTAACAGCTGATAGTGGTTGATGCTTGTCATCGCTCGCCTTCTTTAGCTTGAAAATCATGTTGTAAAAGATAAAAACTGAGCATTTGTATATAGAAGCATTATATACATTAYATATTATCAACTTGAGTTCTAAGTAAATGAAAGTGATCATTATGGTCCTGCTAAGATTGATTTTCAGAACACAAACTTTTCATCTTCTTGCACGGAGCATCATTAGGCGGGAAAACATCCACCACAGGAAGCCCAGCTGCAAAATTTTACAATGTGAGTAACAGGAAGAYCATGAAACAATATTATACTGCATTTGAGCATGATCTTTCCATTCCCTCGTGCTACAGAGGACACWATCTTGATTTCAAATTTTWAAWAACTTAACTTAACACGATTTTTTTCGCTTTTATATTCATTTTTAGTTTTATTTAAATTGGGCTCCCTGTGGTTGCACGTGGTGAATATTTGATCCCGTTACCCGCGGGATGGTTGCGGGAAAGTTTGTTGGTAGATTCAACATGGCGGMGGAAGGTTAACAAACGATACCATGAAAGATCTACGAGAAAAACTGAACAAGAACCAAGGAAAACAACAGCAGAACTACGATACTACCAGAAAAAGATCCAGAGAAGGGTCTTTTGCGAAGCATTCGAGTAATGACGTGAATGTCGAGATCCATAAAGTACAACAAGGAATCAAGCAAAGGATCTTGTTTGACAGGCAAGAATGCGATACAATTGAGGCGAAAATCAATGAAGTAGTTGAACAAGCTAATTCAGGGGAATTTAAAGAAAAGACTGTAGATAGAGCTCCTCTCCGAGTCAAGTATTTCTTCGGAGAAGGCTATACTTATGGCAAGCAACTTGCAGAAAAAGGACCTGGGGGAGAAAAGCTTTATCCAAAAGGAGAAGTCGACGAGATTCCACAATGGATTCTTGATTTGGTTGTTTCAAGGCTCGTTAAAGCAAGGATCGTACCTAAAGGTTTTATAGACAGTGCAGTGATAAATGATTATCAGCCAGGAGGTTGTATTGTATCACATATTGATCCTCTACACATCTTCGATCGCCCTATCGTTTCTTGCTCGTTTTTCAGTTCTTGTTCATTAAGTTTTGGTTGCAAATTTATCTTTAAACCAATTCGTACTTCTCCTCCTGTGCTGTCTCTTCCTCTGCCAAGGGGATGTGTGACAACGTTAAGGTAAGGAAATATGGTTCATTAATGTTAAATATCAAGGGTTTTTAGTAAACAACACCTTGATGCTGGATTCACAACTTTGGGTTTATCACATCATCAATTATTCCAATAAATATGCCCCCAAGTATTTTTTTCAAAATTTTGTGTTTTTATCCAACCTTGCTGACAATACTCCTATTGTTAATGTTTAATAAATACTACAACTACACCAACGCCAACACCATTATTATTATTATTTTCATATTGCTATAAGCAAAACAAGCTGATATGTATACCCTTWGCTTCTCAATATTATTTTGGATGCAATGCTAACATGRAAATATAAAAGAAATCACACATTTCATGGTGGAATTTGTGATATTTCCTTTTTGTGTTTGTCTCACATCGAAGATAATTTGAGAGAACTCTATTGAAGACCATGTCCTGGGACACATAGATGGTATAACAGTTTGAATGAGTTCCTGCAAAGTCATGGCATGTGCAAATACTTACTTTACTTAATGAAAAGCACAAGTACTTTGTGCCTAATATTTAATATTAAATTTGTYGATTTCCTGTTATTTATCAGTGGGTATGCGGCAGACGAAATCACTCACTGTGTGCGACCACAAGATGTCGTCTCCAGGAGAGCTGTTATCATATTGAGAAGGTAAGGTATGAATGGTTCAATTTTGCTAACCTTTGGTATCTTGCATCCATGGTGTTCATCGGGAAATTGAGGGGGAAAAGGATTTTCTCTTAATGCCAAATTCATTTTTCTTCTGATTTATTATAATCCTGCCTCCCTTGTATTACAAACCCTTTGAAACATCCTCAGAAATGARTACAAGGYTAGGAATTTTACTGTATTTGGAAGTATATGTTAAGTGTATGCTACATCGAGTGTATAAGCAGATTAAAAAATCTGCCTCAGTTGGGTTCTCRCAGGACTYGAACCACTGACCTCTCGTTTGCTAGATGAGATCTCAACCGCCCGGCCACTGAGGYTTTACGGGAGAAGGTCGTRTTAGATCTATATTTTGATCAAATCTGCGCGTGATCTTTTACCCAAGGTATTTGGAAGTGTTCATTATATTCATAGAATTAATGTGACATTTATATTTGTTGTAGAGTTCATCCTGATGCGCCACGTCTTGAGCCATTTACAGTAAAGCCATATTATGATAATCCCACAAATGATACTACCAATCAACAAGAGCCAGTCACACATGATACTCCATCACCAGATACATGTGATACCAGTAAGGCACAAGACACAGATAATGACGAGGAAACAGAAAACCCTGTCCAACATTCCCCAAAACCCAAGAAAAGAAGGATTGTCTTACAAAGGGGTTATAAACTGCAAGGTTCCAATAAGRTACCAAAATAAATTATGAGGTAGTATAAGGATAATTCCTGGATTCTTGGACAATGGAATTAGGCATTCCATGGACAAATAGGAATGCTGTGTCAATAATTATTATTTTGGACTATTTGCTAACAGTGCAGCAATACTGTATATCAAAAAAACATTATKGACATTAGCATGCAGCACTGCAATTTTTTGTTAAGCCGCAATAATTGAACCCTGTCAAATACAAAGCTAACTTGAAATTACAAAAAAAATCATRCTTTTTCTAGATAACATTTGTGGCATTTCTTTTGTGTTTTTCTGTTAGCCTTGCATTCAAGATAATGCACTATTCTTAAAACTGTCTTGAATTCAAGGCTAACATGAAAATGAAAAATAAATTCCTTAAATTCCATTGAAAAAAGTGGTCTTTTGTATTTCCATGTTAGCCTTGTATCCACAATACTTTTATGAAGGGTACRTTGATATTTCTTGTTGCGTTTCTGCAGAATATTATAAATGAATAAGAACTGCTACACATTTTTGAACTAGCATGATAGAACAATAATTTTAATAGTCAAAAACTAGGATTTGTTATAACATTATTTCTAAATGTTGCCAAAAAAATGATTTATTGAATGCTGAGAAAAKAATTATTATATTAATGTACTTTTTGTAGTTCGTTGCTTTTATAGGCTGCCATCTTTGCAGATAATGTTGCAGTTGACTAAACTGCTCTGAAATTCCTTTGTAATAGGACAGACAATATGTAAAATACAATTATTCCTAACAAATAACTAAATGAATTTGATATTAATTAATATTCATTGAAGAATAAAWAATGTTTTTTGTGATAAGTTATTGCCATTTCCATATCAACTGGTTATAGTTATAGTTCTATAGGTTATATTTCAACTGCTTCAAGCTGAGGTTATTTGGGGATTTGCAGCTAGTGGTATTTTTATGCAACAGTGTATTGACACAAAAATGCATTGAAATTGTTTCTGCTTGACTTTTGCATGAAAAAGTACTACCTATTTTTTCCGGTAATAAAACTTACACTTTTAACATATTGATCAGGCAACCACAAAAACCATATCAACTGTAAAACAGAAGTCAGTCTGAAAGTGGAAGAAGAAGTTCCCTGCAGTAAACAGTACACAAGATGCTAGCCATTCAATTGAGCAGTATAGAAAAATAATCTATAACTATATATAACTTTATATATATTTAATTTATATATATAACTTTTATTATTGAATCCTAATTTTTTTGAATGAAGGTAAAGTACCTATATTTAACGGYGGTAGTTCCTTCAGTTGAAATTCAAATTCTATCATTGGAAGCCGACGGTGTGCACTTTAACTCCTCTCTCCATCAGTGCTCCGTTTTATGAGTATTCAAAGCTAAAGCTACACGGATTAGAGAGAAATCGAAACAGACGTGGAGAGATCCTGAGGATTGAACTGTGGACCTCAAGCTCTGAAGGCCACGCACTAACCAACTGAGCTACGCCTGCTAAATTTTTTTAACAATTTACTGTTTAGCTATGGTGCAAAATCATATTTGTGATAATATGTCAATGAACCTAATATATATTCTATTCTCAATCATCACAAAAATGAGCTTGAGTACATGATTTCTCAGCATTATTTTAAGGAAAAATTTGTCAAGAATAGATTTTGCCAGTAACCAGATGTTGTCTAACCTTCTTTAAACCATCTCGTCTAGCAAACAMAGATGCTATGATTACTTCCAGAGATGGAGGATTCCATGTAGACTCTACATTATTTACATGGCTTAATGCTTTCTTCAAAGCAAGTCTTTCAGGGTTTTGAAGCTGCCATCCTAAAGTGATTACATAAGGCAGCAAATTTTCTTGGATCAGAACATGGCAGTTGTCTTTAATGGGTAATAGACACTGYAGGGTAAATATTCCAAGCCTCAGAGTAGTATGCGAGCCAGGCCAAGATACACAGTCTGTTCTACTTCCTGAAGTATAATAATGTGGCAATTGTTTTATGCATTGGCATGAAGTGCTGTTTGACGGAGATAAAACCATCATGTCATCTGTTTGTTCACGCAAGGCTTTTTCACAACATGCCTCATGTTTTACAAGTAGTTCTTTAGTTTTTGAATTTTTTTGCACTGATTCTATATTTTCTGCATTGTTGTTAGTACAGTCACATTTAATAAATCCATAGTTCCAAGCACTTGCACTACCTTGCAACAAGCCTTTATTGCACATGCAATACTGTCCACCAGCATACATTATCTCCACACATGGAACAAGAGACTTCCAGTGACAGGAGTATTGTTCGTTCCAGCTTTGTATTTCATGTGGTTTGTGCTTCCTAAGAAATCTCTCAATCAAACAATCAATTGTTTGTGCAGCTTCATCATTATTGTTCAGGTAATTGATTTCGGACGCACGTATTTTCCCMAAAAATAATACACAATAGAATCTTAAAAAAGAAAAGGATGAATTAATAAATTAAAAAAACATAACTCCATATAAAAAGAGTTTTTTTTAACTGAATAAACAAATGATTATTAGTATTTTTACACATCAAGCAAATAGAGTACAAACACTATATGTGTGCAACATAAATACCACTAAATACTGCTAAATTATGCTAGAGTGCTCGCACTAAACCCGTGAAACAAACTAATTTTTAGTACTAAATAGTGATAATCAAACAATAGAAAACAAAGGATTCTGTATGAATTACTACTAATTAGTACTAAATATTATTCACGGGGTTTTTGCGTGCACTCTAATCCTATTGTTTTCTATTGTTTAACTAGCACTATTTACCACTAAAAAGTGCAAAGCGTTGCACACTCTTAGTGTTTGTACTCTATAACAACTCCAGTGCGCAGAGATAAACAACATTTGAAAAAACAAAACAAAATTCTCTCTCTGATATTTATCAAATTAAAATTAAAATTAAATTCAGTGTTAAAAATACTGAAACAATTATTTGCCTCAGGCTCAGTGAATATTGGGGAATATTTACCTTGCGCCTTGGTAAATATACCGATATTCACTTCACCATCATCAATTTATTTATCTCATGCATTTTTGTTTACTGAGGGAGACAGTATTTTCATAACTTGTRGTCCTTTTTTAACGTCTCTATTTAATAAGGGACAGGACCGCCATTAATGCTTCATCTGAACCAKGTTTAAAGGTCTAACCATTTGCAGATGTAATTACTGTACAAAGGCAGCAAATTCTCCTCAGTTACCTTCAGAACCTGACTGTTGGTCCGCCGGAGGCTTGAACCCATCACCTCCCACCCAACAGACTAACGCTATTACCAACTGATGAGCTTAAACCAGGTGGCAGTAATACATACATAAAAATAAATTTGCACATACCTTAAAATAAGGTCTCCATTGATGTCTTCCAGAAGCTGCTGYAGGATTCTCATCACCTGGTAGTGAACGCCTTTCTGGATCAGGTATTTCAGAGAACACTCATTCAATGTGCAGAAGAAGAGAGTAGCAGCTGCAAGCTGGCTTGAGAATAAAGGATATTGAAGGACAGGCCTTTTTATCTGTCTATTCATCATGATTAATAGTTTCCTGASGATAAGTCCATTCTTAGCTATGTGTTCTTGTATACCAGGTTCTGTTTCTGCTAGCCTGTCAAAGAACAACATATTGAACAATGTATATTAGTTAATAATACTTTTTTGTTAGACTTGTCACAGCATATATCCCACAATATATGATGGGACATGACCCTTTCACACACTGATTACACATGGGTTGAGTTGATGTATTCTACAGCACCATGAAATTAAATTAGCCAGAATAATTGAAGTTACAGCTCAACAGGTTATGACAAGACTGCAATATAGACCAGACTATAGCTTAAAGGTAAAGTGTTTTATAACAGTAAATGCTTAAGAGCCAATAGAGTGAAGTCATTAAACCCATGAA